CCTTCTAAACGTTAAACTGTACAATCAGCACAGAGTAGATCAATGCAGAGAGAATGAAGCTCACTTTGAAAAGAGACATTCCCTGGCTAGGGTAAGACTTACATGGAAGGAAGAACTGTGCCTCTGAGGAGGTAAGTAGTCAGCTATGAAAGCATAGACAAAGTGAAGTCAGCAGTGCAAAAGTTAGCATTGATCATTTAGGCACTAGAACCGGGAGAGGGAGTTTTGTCCAACAGCTATTCAATATGGTGGGTGCCATTGGCAAGGCCATTTCTATTGTGTTTGTGGCTCTCTCAGGCTATGTCAGTGGAATGCCGATAAAGCACACCTCTAACTTCTTAGTCACTGAGCTTCCTTCCAAGTACAAGGCAAATTTCATGCAGTTGCCTTTAGGAAGACAACGTAGGGTATGACAGTAAAGTTTGCCCATCAGCATAGTGACTATATTATTTTCAATGTCAATCCATAAATTATTATTATTATGAGATTTTTGAGGTTGGTGAAAGTAAGTCCAACTTTGAGGGATGGAGTTCTCCTCAGTGCACTGACATGTCAGATTTTTAGTCTGCAAGGCTCAAAGCCAGGGGTGTGTTCCATAGATCCTGGGGAATTCATGTGTGTAATGCAAACTCTTCTGGCAACATCTCTTTATCACTGTATGCTTTTTACTACAGTCATCTATAAATCCATTAACTTGAAAGTATTACTATCATCATGGCAATAATTACAACAGGCTATGTAGTAAGGCATGTATGTCCCTTATAATAACTGCTGCCTGCTCTAACATTTAACTTTGCAACAAAAATCCTCCTAGTAGCCAGCCACTTAGGAGCACTAGAGATGCTGTTAGAGGTTCAAAATCTAGTTCTGCCTTTTATCAGTTATGTGACCTTGGGAAAGTGACCTAATTTTTCAGAGTCTCTGTTCCTCCATCTGTAAAATGGGGACAATAAGACTCAGCTGTCAGGATTTTTGTCAGGAATAAATGAATTCTTACCACGTGGCGAGGGAAAAGATTGCTTACACCAAACCTACTGTAGAAATGTGTTCTTTGGCTATGTTCTTCTAGGATTATCACTTTAGTCAGAGCTATATTTCAGCATTTCATTTTATGAACATCTAACATGAAAGAAAGAAAAAAAATCCAATGCCTTATAACTAGGAAATCAAAAGTCCCTTTGAATTTCTTAGAATAATTCTTAGCCTTTCAACAGTGATTAAGTTTCCTTGTAATATTTCTGTCTGTCAGAATTCCCTGACCTAAATTCTCCGCATTCAATATTGAAGTTTTCTAAGAATATCTTCAGAACCTCTTCACTTAAAAATGGTTCATTTACAGTTTGCTCCAGGGAGTTAAAGAGAATGTTTACTTAGGAAATGATCTAAGTGATTCATCCTAACTGTAGAAGGGGAGGCTGTGGTGGGGAGCCCTGGCTGCCATTCCTCCCTCCAAGGCTGGCTCTAAGGAAAAGATTAGAGGACCTTGAAAGGTATCTGTCATTATAGCCTCACTGTTGCTTGCCCTTGTTTTTGACAGAGCAAAAATAAATGAGACTATAGATAACCTGAATACTTTAAGGATTTATTTAATAGATACATATCGGACTCTATATACTGCAGACATAACTTTTTCCCCAACATCATTGAATATTTATTAAGATTAATCATACCTTAGAGCACAAAACAAAATGCCAACTAATTTCTTAAAGGGGAAAATATATCAACTATATTTTATGACCACAATGCACAGTAGTTTAATTGCACACATGTGCACACAAAATAAAAAATTAAAGAGAAAATCAAACCATAATTACAGATTATTTAGAAATAAATGGAAATGGAAATAGCCATTTAATATGGTCAAAGCTGACTTCAGAGGAAAATTCATAACCTTGGTTGATTTTTTTTTTTACCTCAATGAAGAATAAAAGAAAATGACTTAAGCACATAATTTTCAAGAAGCTGGTAAAAGAAGACAAAGAAAAAAATTTCCATGCATAGAAAAATATGGAATCAGGTGTGTAACCTGAGAACCTGAATGAGTGACACTGGTGGAGGAATGTTAAAGATGATTACCCATTGTTCGTGCACTTTTCCAGTGAGTATTTTCAGGACTTTAGTAGGTTCTGACTTCCATGAAGATATGGAAGATGTTCAATGGCTGTTTAAGCTTGACAATGAGATGATAAAAATAAAATCTGCCACTTTTTCAATTTTAAAAGGGAACTATTAAAATAAATTGCTATAATCCTGTTAAAATTTCAAGGTATAGGTAAAAGTTTGTATTACCCACAAGAAGATTGAAGGCTATTTAAAACTCCTTATTGGAAGCTAAGAAAAAACACATTCAAAGGTCAAAACACCAGGTGTTGTACAAAACACACAAATGAATGGCAATTGAACAAAATCTCAGAGATAGTTACAGGATGTCATTAAACTGGTTTTAATATTCTTTCTGAGTTATTTTTAAAGGTTTTTGTTTTGTGATAAATCTGTGGAACACACCTGCTCACTCAGTTTCCTGGGGATGCTATTTTGGGCAATACTGAAGTTTCTTTTATTCTCAGATTGATACAGCCTACTCCCTGCTGGTCTGTTTGAGAAAGCTATCTGCATGATAAAGCTACTCTTCCTCCTGAGTTTTTCACCCTTGGGATATAGAAGTTCCCACTTTCTCCTATGTCTTACAGACTCAGATAATAGAGTAGATTGTCTTCAGCCTTACCAATCACTATGGTTGTGTGCTTTGGTTCTTTTCAATACTTTATAGGCATCTTTCAGTGAGATGTAGGAAGAGGGGGAATATTAGGGAAACTGAGGCTATTAGGTGATCCTATGTTATATGAGAAGTCTCTGATGCAGAATTTTCCATACTGTGTTCCTTGGGATATTGTTCCAGGTGAGGCTACTAGGTGTTTCACAGTTTTAAATCACTTTTTTCAGATTCATCATAAAAATTAGGAAATTAAAGTCTCTGAGAAGTCCTGAGTAAATAAGTCAGATTCACTTTATTTAAATCTAAGCTTTTATTTGAACACAGCATACTTTTTCACAACTGCATTTCTGCCTGGATCTGGCTCTAGGCTGAGACTGGCCAATGGGATTCCTTCTTGGGTCTTTGTTTGGAGTAGCATGTTACCTGAACCAGCACTTTGACTTTAGGAGTCATTTTTTGCCTTTTAACCGTACTTGGCACCAAACTATTTGCATGTGTTTTGATCTTCCCACTGATTTTATTTTCTCCCTTCAATAGCAAAGAGAACTAATTCTAATAAGCTCTTACCATGTGCTACTCCACTACTTGCTTTAAATATGCAACTGATGCTGGACCCTTTTTCTTGATGAGAGAGAGGAGAGAGGGAGAGAGAGAGGGGGAGAGAGGGAGAGAGAAAGATAAAGAGAGAGAGAGAGAGAATGTGAGAGAGCGTATGTGTATTTGGCATATGGTTGGGGAAAGGAGAGGTGGTCTTTGAAATGAATCCTACCAGTAGCCATCTGGACATCTATACATGGGTTGTCTTTGCAGCCCACATTAAGGCTGCTGTAGATGTCTACTGGTGATAGAGGTAAAGAAAGTTCTACTTTCCACCTTCTGGAGCTCTGAAGAAGGTTCAGTCATTTTTCAAATTTGCCATTATATTAATAGAATTGAAGTCCTACAGCATTGGTAGTGAAATATAGGGCACAGCTTTCCTGGTTTAGCTAGATATGTATCATCCCTTAGCTTGAAGCAGGGGCATAAGGGGAGGGACACAAGGCTGTTTGCTTACACTATGAAAAAGGGGGGTGAGGGTAACCCTCAACCCCCTTTTTATCCTTCATTTGAACACTTTCCCTTTCTTCCCTGTCTCCTCACTAGTCTATCTTCATCTCATCTCCATTCAAAAATTGTAGTCCTTCTTCTATCTATTTTCTGCATCTTAGAAACCTTTGAGACTTTGGTAGGTCATAGCTATCCTTGTTTCTACATAACAAATCACTCCAAAACTTAGTAACTCAAAAATCTACATGTAGTTCTCTTGCTCATAAATCTGTAATTTTGGCAGGGCTTAGTGGGGACAATTAATCTCTGCTCTGTGATGTCTGTAACCTCAGCTGCTGAAATGTGTGGTCTTTCCACTGGGTCTCTCCTTTATAGTGGTCTTAGAGTAGATAAAATTCTTATGGCATCTCAGGGTTCCAACAGCGAGTGTTCTAGGAGATCAAGGCAGAAGCTGCAAGGGCTTTTATGACCTAGCCTCAGATGTCACTGCTCTGGTTTTGTCCCTTCTGAAAGTCAAACTGAAATTTGATTGCTATTGTGGGGTGTTGGGAGGTGGGGCCTAATGAGAGGTGTTTGGGTCATGGCAAGGGATTTCTCCTGAGTAGAATAATGCCTTCTTGTAAATGAGTGTAAATGAGTTTTAGCTCTCATGGTACAAGATTAGTTACTATGAGAATGGGTTGTTAAAAATCAAGCTGCACCTTGTGTTGGTCTCTCTCATTGTCTCTTTCCACACACCTGCTTTCTCTTCCACTTCTGTGCCATGTTATGACACAGCATGTGACCACCACCAGAAGCTGAGCAGATGCCAACACCATGTTTCTTGGACTTTCTACCCCCTAGAATTATAAGTCAAATAAATTTCCTTATAAATTATCATTTTTTAAGGACAAATTATAAATTTCCTTATAAATTATCCAGGCTCAGGTATTCTCTTCTAGCAACAGAAAGTGGACTAAGAGCCATGTAATATCACTTCTACTATCTTCTATTGGTCACATAAGACCAACCCTGATTTAATGTGGGAGGGGGATACACAAAGGCAAGAATATGAGAAAGCAGGGGTCACTGGGAGAACTGCTCAGAAGGCTGGCTACCATATCCTCCTTCTTCTCAACTTCAAAAGGCAAACTAATTTTTTTAAAGCTAATTAAATGTGCATATGATATGATACTACTATATCAAAAAACTGCGGTGGATATTGCCACAGAAAGAAGACATCAGGACACATGTTTCTATGCTCCTTCCAGCCACTGTGTTGTCTTTATTAAATGGAATATTAAATTAGACGGAAAGAGTGTTTGCAGTTGGCATCCAATTACACACAAAGGCCATCATATTATCCACCCTGGCTTTCAAAGAATGCATCTTGACTTTATACACCTGGTTTTGCATGTTGCATCAGAGAGGGAGGAAATTCTAGATGCTGGCTTGGGAATGAGAATAAGGCATCCAAACTTCTGTGAAGCCAGCAGCCATCCCCTCTCAGCTCCCAACTTCACACTGAGTAGCAACAAAATAAATAAATGGAGATTAATGATGCTTTGGTTTGGGAAATAATGCTTACATGCACTGGATGCATCCGCTTAAGTCTTTTAAAAACCATTGTTCCAATGATTTTATTGCTCGGTAACAAAATATATCAAACTGACATTGATTCCAACGTCATTGTGAATTGAAGTTTAACCATATTAATGACTAATGGGATGCAAGTTTGAATGCTAGGAGGAGGCTTGAGGAGGAAGGCATCACAGTATATTGCATTCTTGTAAACATTAGTACAAGTGCAGAGTAACAAGAGATTCCCCTAGATGATGCTAAATAGGCCCCAAGTTCCTCTGCTTTCAGAGGGATAAAACATTAAGGATTCTTTTCCATTTTACATCTGTTAGGGTTTATATAATATGCTGTCCTAAAGAAGAATGGGTTCCAATTTGGCTGCATTTCTTCTAAGATGCTGTTCTTGGTTACCCTCCATGTTCCTGGTTCCCCGCAAGTTGGGTTCAGCCTCCAAAATGAAGTCCCATAGGATGGCATGAGGAAAAATGCTTCCCCTAATACAGAGGATGTAAAATGAAAATGGAGACCGTTGGCCACATCCTCTTCCCCAGCTCCATCTCCTTCAAGAAAGGACTTCATTACTGAAAGGGCTGTATAATCTTCAATAAATGAGGGGTCTTTGCTCCACCTTATCCCTTCTGTCCTTCCCCATACCTATGCTTCGTATCTGCCCTGTCACCTCTGCCAATAACTACAGCAGCAGGAAGGACAGCCTGTCAGCAATCTCTGGGAAGGCCAGGTCTTTGCAGCTGGTGCCATGTCAACGTAGCCCTCACGTCTAATGCACATCAACAGGATTTACTCAGAGGACTGAAGAGAAAGAAAGAATAAGCCAGCCACTCTGGACTGCACAATCACAAAGTGGGGGCATCGTGCCGGGGAGCACTGGAATGTAGGGAGCTAGAAAGCAGGCCTTCCTGATGCTCTGCAGAGGGACTGCTTGGGTTCTGAAATGAGATCATGCTGATTGGCTGGTACTGGGGACAAAGGTCTGGAGCCAGAATAATACTTGGCTACATGGACCTGAACCTTGCACTGGGGCTACCCCACAACCTGCTGCACAGTCCAGTGGGTTAACTTACACCACTCGGACAGGGAAGGAGCTGGGCCCCGGGGGACCACTGTGGTTTACAGCCCTGCCATGGCTGCTGCCAGGCAGGCACCTGGCTCTGAGGCCTGCTCAGCCTTGTCTCCACCTTGGGCAGCCTGGTGACACCGTGCGGTGGGCCTTCCGTTTTGTGGCTGTTACTCCACAGTCTCAGACCCTTGAGTCTTGTCCCACTATTTCCTGGGGTCTTGTCAGTGCAGCAGCTCCTCCGGGTGGACACAGTGTGAGATGAGGCAGACGGCATCGGCACTGAAGCAGAGCTTGCCCACTGCAAATATAGGTGGGGCTGGCGATCAGATGTTTTCTAGGACATCAAGAGGGATGAGGCCTCTCTTCTTTCCGCTGAGGACTCTGATAAAGCCATCTTGTTCTTCTTCAGAACTCACACAGATCTGAATGCCAAGGAGAAACAAAACAAGAATTCAGTGTCAACAAGAAAGAAGCTAGAACATGCTGCCTGAATCATTTGCTGACTGAGGTCATTGGAATAACAAATTGGAAAAGGGAGAGCAGTTTCAGGGTGGGAAGCTGTGAGAAAAAGGTTTGATAAGAATTTAGGCACAAACCTGGGTTTAAAAGTAAGCCCAGGCATTGAATGTTTTCTGAGATTCAGCTTTATGAATGAGGATCAATAAAATGGGGATTAATAGTACTGTGACCCCCTGAAGAGTCAGTGTAAGAATGAGATAGTGTTTACCACAGAGCCTAGCATATAGCATGCTACATGTATGTAGCATAGAGCAAGCAGAGTTCTCAATGCATTATTTTGTAGAAAAATAATAGCTATCATTCAGCAGACTCCTCTCATATGCTTTGAACTTTATATGTGCCTCATATAATATCAGGAAGTCAAATGGAATTATTTCATTCCTGGCCCCAAGCAAATAGATGCTGACATTTCCCATATTCCAAAGCCCACCTATGCTAGATGTAAAAATTGAGGCTGTAAAAATCCATTTGGGTCCCCTTGCCACTCACCACTTATAGGCCACTGAAGGGCATGGCAGGGTGAATGTGGCCAGATAAAAAACTAGGAGAGGTTTGCAAAGAGAGCTGTCTGTGTGTTGTGAGTTTCTCCTGCCTGACCTACTTCCATGGATGGTGGGTTATGTCTTAGGCCGGATTCCCTAGAAACGAAATCTGAGACAGGGATCTTTGTGCAAGTGATTCATTGAGTGGGTGCTCTCAGGAAGGGGGAAGTGGGGGAAGCAGGATAGGGCAGGGCAGGGAGCCAAGCAAGGATGGGGTCTCAGCTGGAGATCAATCAGCTGACCCCCATGGGAGCTCTGCAGCATGCATTTTATCACAGAGCTGTCTCACTTTTGAAGCAAGGGGTCCCACTTCTTGAACCCCTTGTTAGTCATTGACCACTGGCCGACCTGGAGTGCGAGAGGCCTCACCCCTTAGGCCAGGCAGCACCTTCTTTCTCAAGGGGGCCTCCCAGAGAAAGGCAGTGGTGAATAGTTAGTAGCTGACTTAGCACCTTGGAGATGGGTGTGCCCACCTAGTGAAAGGGACTTGGGCAAGGGTCCAACAGAAACCACCACAGTGGGCTCTTCTGTCACATAGAATACGGGACTTGAACAGGACACTTAAAAAGCTTGATTTGCGACCCCTGGGCCTTGGGGCATATAGTGGACTGGTATCTGACGCATGTTTCAGAAATCTACTTTATGAGAAACTTGACTAGACAGATGCTCAGATGAAGAAGTGAAGAGAAGCAAGTCTATATAAGCAGAAGATGTGATGGCTGTTTCATGAAGACCAGATGTGGGTCGCTTGTGAGAGAGAAAGAGCTGGGGGGTCACATTAGACTGATGGGTAAGATGACCCCAACAGGAAGGTAAACCACCTGGTTTTCAACACCTGAGACCTGCCATTGCCCATGCCAGGAATACCACAGGTGAGAGGCCCCAGTGACGGGTAGGAGAATGTCTTGAAGGAACCCACAAAAATGCCTTGAGAGGAAGATTTACCTTTAAGATCTGCCAAAGATTGGCTTTTCTTTCTTATTGAAATGTGCCAAAATTCAACAACCCTTAATATAAGTCCAACCAGTCAGCATCAACAAAAAGCTGAACACCTGGTCCCTTGTGTAGGCTTGTTCTAGGTGCTTATTGAAAACATGTTCAGTTTAATATTTAAATAAAAAAATCACATTTGAAAATAATTCACTGATATGTACACACACAGATGTTGTTATCATGGTGATGTTGAACAGAGAGAACTGGGCAAGGAATCAGAACACTGAAATTCTGGCCAGAGCCAAGAGCCTTATGCCATTACCCCCATGCCTTGGAACAAACAAAAAACAGACGGCAGTTTGGATCCCCACTGGCCTTTGGGGTCATTTTCAGGATGTTCCATCATTTCCATGACAATAAAATTTTAGTCTCTGGAGAAAAAAAAAACTATTGAAAATCCGAACGTGTGCCCATATGTAAGACAGACCTTTGCTTTTCCCTTTTCAATTTCAGGGGTTCAATGTGGAAGAGAAACATTGCTTGATAGAGGAGTTGTTTGGAAGTGTCTCAGAGATGGGAAGTCAAGAAGCACAAGCATAGTTTGATGTATTGACTTATTTTGCACCCTCTAGTTGGCTTCTCTAGAGTGATTTAATTTGGAGAGACATTTATAAGGATGAGAAGTTCTGCCTCCACTCTGCACTGCTTGGGCAGTCTTGGTAGGAAGCAATGGGTGAGTAAATGAGGAGGCTAAGGAAAGTCAAAAAGGATGAGTACAAATGGCTGAACACAGCCTTTAGCAGCCTTCACCCTACCCAGAAATTGAGGGTGTAGAGTTCAAAATTCTGGTGGTAAAAATACAATAGCCCCCCAACCTTGAGAATCTACTATTTAAGGAAATGTTTAGAGGCAGAATAGAAAAGTCTTCCCAGAAGATTAATTATGGGTAGAAAAGAGTGGGAGGTGAGGACACCCAGAGGAACTCCTTTGGATTAGAGAGCCATAAATAGGGTGACCAACCAGTCTTGGTTTGCTTAGGACTTTCCCAATTTTAGCACTGAAAGTCCCAGTCCTAGGAAGCCCCTAAGTCTGAGACTGAAACAAGTGGACAGGTGGTCACTCTAGCAGAAAGGTTTTACTCATTAACCCAGGTAAAGATACTTCCGTTGTCTAAGGATCCCCAATTCTCTGCTTTCCACATTCATTCATTCATTCATTCATTCAACAACTTTTTATTGGGTACCTGCTATGTGCTAGATACCATTCCAGAGGCCAGGGGACTAGGACACATGACAGATCTCTGCCCTCACAGAGCTTTCTGGGCACCACTGGGAAGACAGACATTCACTGAGTAATCATAAATGTGGTGAGCACAAGGGCCATGCCTGTTTTGATGACTGATGACCCTGTGGACAACACTTAATAATCTGACAGCATAACACATAATATTTTTGGAATGAATTAATGCATGAAGAAAAGGGTGCTAATGAAGATATATATTGCAACTTGATCTAGCCGGGGGCAAGAAAGATCTTCCTGAAGAAGTGATATTTAAGCAAAGAGAGAAAGGTGTTGTGGGAAGGAGGAAAATGAGAGTACAATAAGAACAAACTCCAGTATCAAGAGACTGTGACACTTTGGAGTAACAGAAAAAGTTCAGTGTAGACAGAACGGAGAGAAGGAGTGGATAAGGGATGTGAGATGAAGCCAGAAACACTGTTTGGGCCTAGAATGCCAGTCGTGCTAAGTTGCAGGAAATGCCAGTCGTGCTAAGACCCCTAACCGACCTTCTGACCTATCTCATTGCCTTGAATTGGGCCAAAAGGCAACCACTAAAATCATCACCGCCGAGGAGAATGGGACCATGGGACCAACTCAATCAATTCAGTTTGGATTGCTTGAGTCACATAAAATATAGGTGGACGATGGAACAACATTCGGCCCTGAAGCATGGGAAAAGGACAAACGTGATGGTTGGCATCAACCAGAAGTGTGTCAAAGGGTTTTAAGTGGAGGAATGAGATGGTCAGATTGATTTAAAACAGGGTTTTCCCTTCTCTCCTCTCCCGTCTTCATCTCTCCTCTTTTCTTCTCTTGTCATCTGTTCCCTCTCTCCATCTTCTCTCTCTTTCTCTAACCAGAAGACTTCCTGAAGGCTGGAAAGATTTTCTTCCTGTACTGACAAATCCTGACCTGGCCAGCCAGCTTGCTGTCACAGTGTGGACGTGCCTCGAGGACATTGAAGATGCAGTAGTGGCGAGCTGGGCATCTCAATACCGAGGTGGGTGTGGACAATGGAGCAGATGCACTCAGGTACACCAGCACACCATCTCCAGCAAGCCCAGGGCTTTAGCGAGGGCCAGCTGCTCAGCATTACTCAGAGACTTTGTTTTCTGAATATGGGACACAGACAGTTTATGGTCTTCTGGCTTAAAAGACTTATTCCCTTTCTTCCCAATCTCATTCCCAGAGCCTAAACTCTTTAATGGGTTGGAAATCTCTGCTTTGGAGTTAAGCTTTAACACTCAGGGTTCAATCTTTGGTCTCTTAGACTTTATTATTATTATAACTGTAAAACCACTCATCCATGTCTCTACTCTGGCTTTGGATTTTAATTTGGTGGATACTGAGCTGAACTCTGATTAATCCACTCATCTTCTTAGCTGGGAAACCTTAGCTCTGTGTCAATCACTACTTCCTCTAGGATAGCTAAAATGCTTGAGGCAAACACTGTTGATTGACACTAACTCGTTTTTTTGTGCTTTGCCCATACAGCAGAGTCCTGTCTTTTGTTCTGTTGCCCATTCCTATCCTATGTGACTCAGGAAGACCTAATTGATCCAAGTCTGTTTGTATCCTCCTTGTTAGTGATTCTCTTAGTGGTTTGCATGGAACTTAGTTCCAGCCAATAAAACAGGATGAAATATCTGCTAGGGGACTTCTGGGAAAATTTGTTTTCCTCTTAAAAGTGATGCATTAGGAGGAAAATCTCCTTCTTTGTCTGGAAGGGATTCCTGGAGTGGTTGCAGCCATCTGTGACCACTAGGGGAGGTGGCTGATATTTCAAAGGTGGCAGAGCTGAAGTGTAGAAGAATTTGGTTCTTTGACCATGGGATCAAGCCACTCAATTACCAACCCAAGAACTATCCTGTATCAGACTCCTTCTGACATGAATAAACTATATACCCTTTGAAATTGAATCAATTTGAGTTTTATAATTTGAGACATGTATTGGTCTGCTATTGCTGTTGTAACAAATCACTATAAACTTAGTGGCTTCTAACAACACAGTTTGTTATATCACAGTTCTGTAGGTCTGGTGGACTCGGCTGGCTTTTTCTGCTCTTGGTTTCACAAGGCCAAAATCAAGGAGTCAACAGGACTCTCTTTCTTTCCTTTCTACTTGCCAAGGGGAGAGTTCAATTCCA